CCCTCTACAATTTCTCAATTCAAAGAAACCCTAAGGGTTCACTCCCCAGATTTTGTTTTTCTCTCAGAAGTTAAAAAAAAAGAAAAATTTGTAGAAACTGTTTGTAGGAAGTTAAAGTTAGTAGATAGATGGATTTACTCTAAACCATCTGGGGTTGGTGGGGGTTTATTTTTGTGCTGGTCTCCTAATGTGGAAATTCTGGAGCTTAATACCTATGATTTTGGTTTTGAGATTAAATTTGTGGGTGTGGGAATGATGGAGACTCAATGGGGAATATTTGTTTATGCTGACACTAATCCCAGCATTAGACATCATCAATGGAGATCCCTGGTGAGACATAGTTTGAGATGGGGTAGATCTTGGTTTTTAGGTGGGGATTTGAATGATATTCTAGGTAATCATGAGAAGAGAGGGGGGAAAATTAGAGAGGCTATTAGCTTTAGGGCTTTTAGAGAATTTGTGAGAGACTTAGGGGGCATTGAACCTGATATAATAGGACCTCAATATACTTGGTCTAATCTTAGGAAAGGGATTGAGTTTATTGAGGTTAAATTAGACAGATTCATTGTGTCTCCTGAGTGGCTCATCACTTACCCTAATGCCAAAATTAATAATATTGCATTGACATCCTCTGACCACAATATGCTTGTTTTGAATTCTGATTGTACCCAAGAATCCACCAAAAAAAGATTTTTCTTTGATTCAAGATGGGGTAAAATGGAGGGTTTCTCTGAAGTTGTTCAAAAAGCTTGACAGTTACCTTTGAGAGGGCCTGAGCTGTTTAGCATGGGTAGTAGAATTAGGAATGTGAAGAAAGCCTTAATGAGTTGGAAGGGTAGCAAGCAGTCTAATGCTTTGAAAATTATTAATTCTTGCAAAAAGAGTTTGAGTAGGATTGAAGGCCTGGGAGGGGATAGAAATTGGGAGGAGTGAAATTTTTTTAGGGATAGACTGCATGAAGCTTACAAGAAGGAAGAGGAATTCTGGAGACAAAAGGCCAGGGTGAGTTGGTTGAAGGAGGGTGATAGAAATACTAGGTTCTTTCAAGCTAGTGTTAAAAATAGGAGGAAGATGAATAGCTTGCAGAATCTGGTAAGACCTGATGGTAGTAGATGTCTGAATAGAGATGACACTGTTGAGGAGTTGACCAGGTATTTCACTCAACTATTTCAAACTTCAGACCCTTTGGTGGATAGGTGTAATCTGGAGGGTATACCTGTGTCTATTACTGAGGATATGAATAGGAATTTAACCAAGGAAGTGAATGAGGTTGAAATTAGAACTGCTCTAATAGAAATGGATAAACACAAAGCTCCAGGCTATGATGGAATGTCCCCAGCTTTCTTTCAGCAATCTTGGACAACCATTAAACCTGAGTTGTGGGCTGCTATCCAAAATTTTTTCAATAAAGGTAAAATGCCTAAAAACCTCAATCACACTGTGCTAACACTTATACCCAAGAAAAAAAATCCTCAATCTGTTGCAGATCATAGACCCATAAGCCTATGCACTGTGGTGTATAGGCTCATTGCAAAAATACTGGCTAATAGAATTAAAACTGTGCTTCATTGTTGCATTTCCCATACCCAATCTGCTTTCGTGCCTGGTAGGCAAATCATTGATAATGTTGTCATAGCAAATGAATGCATTCATTTTTTGAAAAGTAAAAGAACTGGCAAAGACAAATATATGGCAATTAAACTTGATATGGCCAAAGCCTATGATAGGGTGGAGTGAAATTTCTTAGCTAAAATTTGTACGAAAATGGGTTTCTGTGATGTGTTTGTGTCTTGGATATTGGCATGTGTATGTTCCTCATCCTTCTCTTTTAATGTTCAGGGTTCTGTGTTAGGTTATGTTGTGCCTACTAGAGGCTTGAGGCAAGGTGACCCCTTGTCTCCTTATCTGTTTGTGATAGTGTCTGAAGCTTTTTCCAATTTGCTAAAACAAGCTTGTAGCTTCCAAGGTTTCTCTGGTGTCAGAATTGGTAAGTTTTCCCCTACCATCTCTCATTTATTCTTTGCTGATGATTCCATAGTGTTTTGTAAAGCAGATAGTATTCATGCAAACACTCTTCTTAGAATTTTGAGGGATTATGGGGATGCCTCTGGGCAATTAGTAAATCTTGAAAAATCCTCAATTTTCTTTTCCAAAAATGCTGCTGATAATCTTCAATCTGATATTTGTGGTAATCTGAATGGAATCTCTAGAGTTAGTTCTTCCAAATATTTGGGGCTTCCTTTAGGGTTAGGCAGAAATAAGAAAGATACATTCCATTTTGTGACTGAATATGTGATGAATAGAGTGAAGAGCTGGAAAATCATTTTTTGAGTGAAGCTGGGAGGGAAACACTGATTAAATCTATCCTTGAAGCCCTCCCTACATATGTTATGTCTTGCTTTAGACTCCCTGCATCCATTTGCACTTATATTTGTAGGGAAATTGCTAGATTTTGGTGGGGTTCTTCAGACAATGGGAATGATAGAGTTCACTGGTGTAGTTGGGAGAGGTTAGCTAAGGATAAAGAGAGTGGGGGAATGGGTTTTAAAAATTTCAAGGTTTTTAATGAGGCTCTGTTGGCTAAACAGCTTTGGAGACTCATTACAAAGCCAAATTTGTTGATGAGTAGAGTGATTAAAGGGAAATATTTTTGGAACCAGAAGTTGTTTGATGTCAAAGCCAAGAGTTCTGATTCTTGGCTGTGGAAAAGTTGGTTGTTGGCTAGACAATCCTTAAAACTGGGGGTTAGATATCATGTAGGAGATGGGCAGAATATTGATGTGTGGGAGGCTCCTTGGATACCTGGGGTTAAGGGTTTTATTCCTAGCTTGCAATTTCAGAGGGATAGAGTTAGAACTAAAAAAGTGAGTGATTTATTCATGGGAAATAAACAGGAGTGGGATGTGGATCTTGTTAGACAAACTTTTGCCCCTTCTGAGGCAGATCAAATTCTCAAAATTCCCATAAGTCCTGTAGGTACATATGATAAGCTGGTGTGGAATTGGCATCCTAAAGGGATCTTCCAAGTCAATAAGGTGTACAAATTTCTACTGCAACATCACGGAACAGACCACACAGTAGCAAGTTCAAGCTCAGGCCATGCTCACAGGGAACAGATCTGGAAAAAGACATGGAAGCTGCAGGTCAAAAGTAAGGTGAAGAATTTTTATGGAGGTGCTGGCATGGATTCTTGAATACAAATGCTCAAATGATTAGAAGGAGGATGAAGGTAGACAGTATATGTGGTGTGTGTGGGGAAATGGGGGAGGATTTGGAACACATATTGTTCAAATGTAGAAGAGCTGTGACATGTTGGAAAATTAGTGGGCTACATTGGAGACACTTTGATAGAGATCAAATCTCATTTCAAGAGTGGTGGGGGGATTTGTGTTTAGGGAAAGGTGGGGATTGTTTTCAGGACAGAATTAATTTGTCTACATATATGTTGTGGTGGTTGTGGAGGACTAGGAATGCCTGGGTGTTCAATAAAACCAGAATAAGAGAGAAAGACATAGCAGATGGAGCCTAGAAGGAATGGAGGGAATATGAAGCCACATCAAAGGTTGATCAGGTTGGTCCAATTGGGATTGGGGAAGGTAGTGAAGAGCTGAATGGCAAGAGAGTAGGACAGTTATGCATTACTGTCAGTGCTTGCTTGTTTCCGGACAAAAGAGTGGGGTTTGGGGGAATTGTTGAAGCTGAGGGGAGGATCAAACACAAGTGGTCAGATTGCACTGTAAGTGCTGTCAACAAGGAGGAAGCAGAAATCAGAGCGGTTAAATGGATATTGACACAACTTCTTATGACTGGGACTTCTTCACCAATATGCTGTTATGTGAAATCTCCCCACATTGCACAAATATTGAACCACAAAGAAGAACCAGATGATTTCTTGTTGCCACTTATCATGGATGTACTCACTCTTGCTCAAACTTTTTCTAGTTGTTTGTTTTGTGTGGATAGTAATGCTTGTAGTAGTTCTTTTGCTTTAGCCCTAGAGGCTTTTCAGGGAAACAATTGTTAGTTTCTCATATCTTGTAGTTTCCCGTTTGTTTGGGTAGCTTATGGGATTGTATCCAGTTGGATATTCGTTGTATGAACATTGAAATTGAGTTTTATCTATTGAAATGTTTGATGTTGGAAAAAAAAAGCCCATTTCAGGAAGCAAATAGTGCAATTTGTAAAATGAAAAGTAGCCAAGTTAAGTGCATGCTTGGATATAGATATATCCTCAAATTCAACTCAATATTAATTCAAAACCTCACTACCTCAATATTATCAATATAATTAAATAATATCAATCAATAATATTTACATATCACATCAACATTAATTATTTTATTTTAAATATTATTTTAATACAAACTCAAAAATCCCACTAAAATTTAACTCAACCAACTTTTTTTCTTTTCAAAATTAACCTGATTAACCAAAACAAACCATTCAAAAGTCAAAACTCAAAAGTCAATGTATCTATATCCAGGCAAACTAGCATGGGACAGACTAGGGTCAGGTACTCTTTGTACCTACCTAACATTAGATAGTCCCTTATTTCACCATTAGATTGACTCAACATTGAACATGAACCATTGATTTAATGTACAAACATGTACAAAGCAAAAAAGAAATGATGGATACTTTGTACATGGGGTTATACCTTTGTACACGTTTGTACATGCTAAAAACCTATTTTACCCTTGCTATTATTTAAAATATAAAATGTATTAAATTAATTATAAAATAAAATTTGTATTTAGTTTCAAGTCCTTATATTTATTTTATTTGTATACTAGTTCTGCAAATATGAAAACATATCATCACAGATTTACATATCTCACATTCACGATTAATAGATTTGGTTCTTTAAAATTGTTGTTGTTCTTCAACTTCTGGCAAACCTTCTTCCTCCTTCCTCCGGCAAACCTCCTTCCTCTCAGTAATGACCCAAGTTACTATTGTAGGGAAAACAAACTGAAGTCTGAAAATTTTTGGGGGAAAATCTAAGTCGGAGCTTCTAAAATGGCCGGTCTACTAGCGTGGGCGGCGGACGTCGTCGGAGGCGGCAGTAGCAGGCGGAGCGACGACAAGAACGACTTAAATTCAATCCCTTTCATCTCCACTCCCGAGCAACTCGCCTACGCCCAAGAGCTCGATCACAAATTAGCTTCTCTTACCGTTCGATCCAAGATCTGCTGCTGAGATTGCCCCCGCCCGACATCTCCCAGCGCCTCCCTGACCTCCACGCTCACCCGCTCGCCTCCAGCAATGGTCTATCCCTCAACTCAATGCTCCTTCAGCTACCAAGCAACAGGTATTTTTTTCTTTATTTTCGTTTATTTTGTTGTTACTTTGGGGGATTTTTCTTATCTTTTTGCCTGAATGCATTTGAGTAACGTGATGTGTGGGATAAATCAGCTATGCTTTATTTTTTGTTTGCATGTTTTAAAACTGAAATAGCAATCTGTGTTTGTGTGTTATCAATTGCCCAATTGCGGATTTTCCCTACCGTCTTCTAGTTTCTTGTGTGTTCAAGTTTTCTGGGTTTGAGTGTGTTCTCAGCTTTCCATTAGGGCTTTTGTGGGTTCTCGCGTGCCTTTTGTTGTTCTGTTAATGTCTTTTGGGGGTTTAAAAGCATGAACTTGGAGAGAACTGGGGATATGGGTCTTCTGTGTTTAAAGTGACGAGTAAGTGAAAATAGTTTTATAATTTCTCTATTGGTTTTTCGAAAATCACTTGGGACTTGTTGATTTTCTTCAAGCAGTGAGAGATGATAGCAGAGAAACCTAGTTGGATTATGCATTGCGACACACATATTTTATCAAATGATATTCAGCCTGGCGGCCTCAGGTTTGCTACTGGTGGTGGTGATTTCCTTCTTCTTGGTTTTAATCTATTATTATTGTTCATTTCTTTCCAGTGTTTGGTTTCAATTGTTATATTCTTTCTGGCTAATGAATTCTGTGAAAGGATAAAGAACAAGTATTGCATTATCGAAAATTGCACTTCATTAAGCTGTAACTTGAGGAGAACAAATTCTAGCTTTTGGCTTGTATCTTTGTGGCCGTTTTGATAAGCAGTAAAGCACCAGTTCATTAGACTACAAAATTTCGAAAATCGGCAATGTGCTGTGATTTATAAGCATCGAGTATCCTTTACATATCTTGGGGAGTTGCAAATGAAGACAAGAAGAATTCAATGAATGTTGAGTAATATATAATATCACATACATTTGTTTGGTTTGGTTTAAAACTGACCATATGGTTATATGTTGGAATATAATATTACATTTGCTTGGTTTGGTTTGAGACGGGCCATATGGCTTAATATTGTTTTCCAACATATATATAACCATTCGATGTGTGAAGTTTCATTTTCATTGGTTAGTGTTTTATGTCTTGTCTGTGTTTATGTTGGTACATGTTATTATTTTGTTAAATTGAGCAGTTTTTCTGTTATATGTTTAGGTTTGCATTTGCAACATGAAATCTGTTGGCAGGGGACTTCAAAATCGAGGACTCGTCATCCAAACTCCTTGCAACTCTGTGTGACCATTTCGGCTCCGTTAATTGTGTTAGATGGGCCAAGCATGGCTTGTATATTGCATCTGGATATGACGATCAAGCTATTCTCATCAAGGAAGCCCAGTTCTAGGAACAACAAAATTCGGCACCCGATGTCGAGAATTGGGAAGTTTCCATGAAGTTGAGAGGACACGCTACGGATGTGGTTATAAACGTTTCCCAGAAAACATCAGTTGGAGGGTTAATTACAACTACCACTAATGTCTAGCCTAGTTACAAAATACCCCTGTTATCATTGAGATTAATGTTGTACCTCCTTAATATTTACTAGTACAGAGCCCGTGCACGGGGTGCACAATTTTAAGGCTATTTATCGAGGCTTATAATTATATACATGAATAAAAAAAATGTACGGGATATATATAGTACGTGACTCGTGCGAAACACGAGATATATTTATTTGGAGAATATTATATTATAAGATGCAATATTCAATAAAAGTTTATAATATGCAAGAAAATTGTACAATGTTCAAATACTCGTGCGAAGCACGAGATATATTTATTTGTTTTATGATTTGATAATATAAACAAATTTATATTTAACTTTGACAAATAAAACAAATAAATATTTTAGTAAGTATTTAATGTATATACTAAATAGGAATATATTTAGTATAATCAAATACAAAATATAATCAAATAAGTCAAAGTGTACATTTTTAGTTAGTATTTGATTTTTTTTATTATTAAAATCTTTTTATTATACTTACCTTTTTAAAATAAAACAAATAAATAAATCAATTAAATAAATAAAATATTATAATACCAAAATAGTAATAGCATTTAATGCAGTTGACTTTTCTGGATAGTAAATTTAGTAAATAGAATTTTCTTTTATATAAGTATAAATTGTATAATACGGAAATAGTAATGCAATAAATGTTGTTGACTTTTTTTTATACTAAATCTGGTAAATGGTATACCTTCTAATATAAATATAGATTTCAGTTGGGTATTACATTTTAAGTGGGTAGTTTCATAATTACGCCAATTGGCTATGTTTTAGCGGTAATTCTTTAGTAGATTTTCCACACATGATAGAATAGGTACAACTTTCCTGTGAAAATTTAGTAGATTTTTTATAATATAAAATTTATTTATTTATTTACTATTATTGTTATTTTATTTTTTTTTGTAGGTATTGACTATTTAATATATAAATTTTATTATTTATAAGTTTATAAAATATTATAAATGTATTACATGTACATATAAATTTGTCGATTGTTATAGTTTTATAATTTTTTCAACAATTTATAATTTGCACATTTATTGACTTACGTAACCCATAGTGTATGTATATCTATATTGAATAATAACTGATTTATATATTTTATATCAGCATCTGTTAAATGGATTTGTTCGTATTTGAATGATTGTTTATTCAAATATATCTAAATAATCGTCAAAGTTCACTCGTTGGTTAATTTTCAGTTTGAAACTTCAGGCTATCAAACAGAAACCATATCGAACACCATGCGAGCATGTCTGGTTTAGCTTTGAGAACTGAAATAAACAAGCAAGTTAAAATAAAAATAATATCAAACAAGCAACTTGGTAAGGGGTGAAACAAAATAACAAAAGCCTAAGGCATAACAATCCTGATACCACTTACAAACAACCTTTAAGTCAGCTAAACAAAAATTTGTAACAACAGCAAGAAGCCTCGAGACGCCTTGTGTCTACATTTCATACTCAAACTCCCCCACGAACCTGTGTCTTGTGCCCGAAATACATCTCTTGCATCTGCACATATCAAGCACCCAGTGGGAGAAGCCAAGTTCCCTGTCGGGGCATGATATCAGAAAAATATCCCACTACTTAAAAGATACTGGAAAGAGCCCAAGTTTCAAAATATAGCAAAAAGAACTGTGAAAGTTGAATTTACATATAAAGATCACTATTTTATGATTTAGCTAAGAATTGATGCACTCTAGTAACATTCACCTAATTACCATTTCCCTTCATGTGACTCTACCAACAAGTGAACTGCCAATAAAAGGTGGCTTGTAAATTGTCAACTCCCCTTAGACTATACTAGCTGAAAACAGGATTTGATATGTATGAAACAGAAGCGTTGAGCTTCATATTCATATAACGAGTCCACTTTTGATGTTTGATTGACTATACAACCAGGGGCGGAGCCACCCTAGGGCTAGGGTGGGCTCCAGCCCCATGTCCCAATTTTTTTTTTTTTTTTTTTGCTAATCTTAATTTTTAAAAAAATTTATGCATCAATCCTATTAGCCCCATGTTAATTTTTATGTAGCCCCTTTTAATTTCGGGCTAGATGGCTCAAAACTCAGATCGGAATTTTTCATATGACAATGGAGGAAAAGTGATGATTGTAGTGAGAGAAAAAAAGATAATCATTTATTGTTAGATGACAATTGTGTCCTTATTAGATTTTTATTAATTGGGTTTATAATGTAGCCCAACCCACTCTTGCCTTTTAATTTTTTTAATGGGTTGGCTTGACAAATACCAAATGAGCTAGATAATTAAGCTTGACACAAACTTTTCTTGCGGGCTATTTAATTGTGTTCCTCTCATTGCACAGTCCGTTATCCATTTTCATTTATTATTTTTTTTGTTGATTTCGCCTCCAATAATTAATTCGGCCTCAATTCCTTGATAAATAAATTAAAAAACTCTTACAGAATTGAGTGCAAACATGCTCGACTCTATTTGTTTGATCGACAAGTTCGATTAGCTATTTGGGTTTAGCTTGTTTAAATATATAAGCAAGTCGAGATTGAATTTTTCCAATTCAAACTGACATATGTTAACAGATAATTTGTTCTAGTCATGATCATCAAAACTGGTTACGGGGCCCTGGGCCGAGAGTTGGAGGACCCTGAACCGGCGAGGACATATGCACAGGCCAGTTCATTGAATTGTCGGTTCTTGGTCGTCCGGTTCACTAAAAAAATAAAAATAATTATAAAATAATATATATTTTTTTAAAAAAAGTCGAACCTCGGGTTCCGATTCAAGTTCAGAACCGAAACTGCCGGTTCAAAATGTATAAACTATAAAGTATTGTACATGAACCAAACTGGTCAAAACCACGGACCGGTTGAAGACCCATGGTCAACGGGTCGATGTGTCGGTTCGGCCCGAACCGACAGGCTGGGTCGACCCATGACCATGTTTACTCGGTTCCAATAATAGCTACAACAATATGCAGCCCCGGGTAAAAAAAATTTCTGGCTACGCCCCTGTATACAACCAAATGGTTCCAGCAATTTTTGCAGATAAGTTACTTATTCTGATATGCTCACTATATTTGATTGAACTTCATATGCACACATACATAAATACATACATATATACATTTATAGATAATAGGTATATGAATTATAAAAAGGAGAAGCGGGATTCGCTAACCTTGGCAACATGCGCTGGAAAGTAATTTCTTCATCATCGACTCTATCTTTCCCTTTCCCCAACTTCTTGTCTGCAATCCACAACATTACACGGTATAAATATAGATATTTTTTAACCAAAAAAAAAAAAGAAGAAAGTTACTAGTATTCAATAAGAAAATACGCGGTAGATGGCATGTACCTTTAGGATCGGTGAGATACTCACGAACTTCCCTGCCGGCCATTCCCCACGGACTCCGGTGTATTAATTCAGCTTATTGTGCTTCAATTTTGAAGAGTTGTAGACTAAATACGAACAGTCTCCTGCACTGCCTTGGTCTATGGATCAGGACCTCAAAAGCTAAAAGTAAACGGAGATTTTACCGCTTAATATTTTTGCTCTCTAAAAAACGGCGCTCGTTTCAATTATTTTGGTTTCCAGAGGTGGGTAACTACTATTAGAAGATAATTTTCAATAATTATATAATTTTTAAGAAAATAAAAACAAATTATTATTATTATTATTATTATTATTAATCATTGACAATTGTAAAATGAAATAAATAAAGTGACTTTTGTAAGCACTATCATTTATTTATAATTTATATAAATAATATATAAGTTTCTTTTACTTAAATAGATTTTTGTAAGCAGTACCATTTACTTTATAATTTATTTAAAGAAGCTTCTATATTTTAATAATTATCTTCTAGTAAGTTGAGTTCCTAAAAAAAGGCTCTAGCTTTTATTAATACACTTATACCAGGATTTATTGATAAACATAGATCGCTTTTAGATCTCATATCATATACAAAATTTATTTAATTACTATTATTGTTATTTTATTTCTTTCTTTTTTTTTTTTAGATATTGACTATTTAATATATAAGTATAATATGTACTTATATTTGACATATTGAATCATAAAAAATTATAAAGGTAAATTGAAAAATAAATGACATGAATTTATATAATTTTAGTGTTGAAATTGATTTTCTTGATTTCTTTGTCCTAGGTTCAGGGTTAAGGGGTATTTTGAGTGCATAGCATGGTCGCATAAACAAAATCATAGCGTATAGTGTTATCTAGCGCTTCAACGGATGCCTAGAGCCATTTTAGAAACAAAAACAAATAATAATACAAATTTCTTTTAGTTATATTTTCAAAATAGGGAACATGATTAAAATTGTGAAAAATAGTCCTACAAGCACAACTCTAGTTAGATAATTTATACTATATGTTTTGAGATGAGGGTCTGTGTCAAACCTATTAAATAAACATGGATTTGCCCATAATTAAAACGAATTATTTTTGTTAGAATTTTAATTGAAAAATTTAAACATGAGTAATAGCATTGAAATATTTGTTAGAATTGTCATTGAAATTCCGTTGCAATATATTTTTGTTGAAATTTCATCATTTTCTTGTACTAAACGTAGGATTCCAAACCAATAAAAAAATATTGCATTATATATAATATTGTGTGCAACTGATTATTATGAATTTTTTTAATAATGATGCAAAATATAAGTGAATTCCTAATGAGAAAACATATAGCTCGTATTCAATCCAAATGTCAATATTAATTCAAAGCATTAAAAATTGGTATATTAGTCTTATTTTTTTAGATAAAATTTTAATTACTTTATACCATTATTTTTTAATATTAAAATACTTCATATTCTTTTATTTATCAATTCAATATATCACATAATTTCTTTCAAATGGTGTTTGGTTTGGACCAATGCCTTGATTTGATCTATATTTGCATATTAAAAAATGATATGTTTATAAAATTGGACAAATATTTAGATTGTCATCACATTTTATAGCTAAACTGTATATCTATATATATATAAAAAGAATTAACATTTATCAAAAATAGCAGCAAAAAAGTCAATGAGCATTTAATGCATACTTTATTTGGAAATTTTTTAAATATATGCATTAACTGCTTTAATATACACATTTCCAAATCAAATATGACCAAAAAGATTCTTTCCTTGAATAATTTTATTAACATATGCAATAATTTTATTGATATCTATTATAATAAACTATAATTTGATTTTTCGTGATTGATGTTGATAATATTTTGGTCAACATAAACATGAAAACAACTTTTAAGTCTTAACCATATTATTATTTTTTTTTCACAAATGTTGACTTTCATCCTAAAATATTTATAAACAATGGTAACATGTTAAATAATTCTCCCTCTAACTAATTAGCCGAAATCAAGTTGATGAATTAATATTTTTCGATAATATTTTTTAGCCTTTATTTAATTATATAAACAAATAATTTTTTAAATTAAAATAATTTACCATTTAAGAGATAATAATCACATCATTAAATAATTTATTAATGGCTAAATAATAAAATTAAAATATATTAACTATTCTTTACATTTTCAACATTTGATTTATTTGTATATTATTGTCAACCATGATAATTTTATCATTTTTTTTATTTTTATTTGTTTCCATAATGAATTTATTGTAAAATATATATTTATATTGCATAGTATGTTAAATAAACTAATAAAGCCTTAGGATGCAAATTAGAAAAATCTCTTGATTATGTAAGGTTTATTATTTGACAATTTGCTAAATCATTTTTTTTTTAATTATTATGAGAAAATTAAATTCTAAAAAACATGTGTGTGTATTTTGTAAACATTTATAGAAATTTTTTTATTTTAAACTCATTACATAAACTAAGAAGAAGAAGACTACTTCTATAACCTTTATAAATAATAATAATGACATTATATGACAACAAATATTATAATAAAATAATAATTGACTATTAAATAAATGGTGAACAAGAATAAACATAAATTTTATTTTTTTTCTTATATCGATGGATAAATATATGTTGCAGAATCAAATTTATATCAATATAACGTGTTAGCAGAATGATATATTAATAACATGTCAACGTTATGACTAAAATAAATATCATTGATTGAATAGATTGAAAAATTAATGATCCAACCCTATTACTTTTTGCCAAAATCGTACAAGCCATATAGATGACTCAATTAATATATGTGTCCCGTGCATCGCACGGGCTATGCACTAGTTGTTAATGATAAGAAACCTCATTAATCTACATCTATATCCATATATGTATTATTAATGAAAAAGTACATTAATCAATTAAATAACTTTTTTGTCTTTTGTAATACTAAATAAGTAAATATTTTGATCATATATATAACTCAATACCTAGTGGCAATTTAACAACTTTTCAAATATCAAATAATAAATTAATTATTTTTCCATAATTTTTTATTTAGCACTTATAGTGAGCATATAAGCTAAAAACTATTTGATAGATGGGTTTTTCATACAAATAATGCAACACGCTCCGAATATACCATCTCAACATTCTTATTGGATGATCACTCTTATGTTTTCCTTAAATATTTTAAAAAATTAAAAGAAAAATACAAATATCACCTATGCCTTTAATTTAATGCACTTTTTAAATTTTTAGAAAAAAAAGTCAAATTGTTAAAAATATTAACTATAAATAAAAAATTCAGATAAAGGTAAAATTCAGATAAAGGTGTTACATTTAATAGTAGCGATATGTGTAAAACTGACTTTTAAATGTAACGTTACGATTTTGCTGTAAATTATTTTAATATATTGGGTGTCACCATAATATATTGGTTTAATATATAATTTACTGTGAACTTTCGATCATAACTAGTAGTAATAATTCTAAAAATATCACAAACATATAGATAATTAATTTTGTATAGATACGACTGATCGACATATATACTTATATAATAAGAATTAACATTTATCAAAATTAGTAACTTAATTAATGGTCAAAGTCACTTTTGCATTTATTACTTTCTAAAATCGGTAACTCTTATGTCCATTTCACACGCAACATTTATGTCTTTTTCACACGCCCAATTCACACGCTTCATTAATAGCGTCCTTATCGCATAATTTTTTATGGTAAGGAGATAAATCCCATTTCACACGAGCATCCTTATCACATACTATTAATTTTTTATGGTAACGAAATAATCCCATTTCACACGCCCTTTAAACATATTTTTTAACGATAAATTGAAGAAAAAAAAATCGTATTAAGATATTTGGGATAATTTTAAGATTCAAAAACAAAATCCGTATTATAAGGAGAAGATATTTCATACACCTTATCAATATTCAGAACTGATATTAAGATTGTTATTCATTTCCTAAAACAAATACACGTGTTGAATTTTTATCTCTAAAAAACTATACAGAACATACGCATATAAATATATGTACATATACACATATTAAATTTAAATATTTGTAGACATGTTTTCTTTACAAAATAGTCTAGAAAAATCTCTTTTACACAATGTTAAATTCAAATGTTCTTAGATATGTTTTCTTTCTAAAATTGTTTAGAAAAGTTGTAGGTGACTTCACATCTTTCAAAAATAATATAGAAAATTTTGAATACTTTTACATATATACTAATATAATATTTTTGGTGTTTTTAATATTAAAGATACAAATCTTATATTCTCTTATACAAAATAATGTAAATTTCATATTTTCTTATACAAAATAGTTTTACATTGTTTGACCCCGAAACTTTAATTTATTATTATTAAGTATTGTTTATCTTCCTCTTTAATTTATAATTATTATTTTTTTCTTCCTCTTTTTAAATAGGATCAATAGTAGTTTTCACTTCCGTCAGTGACTCAAACTCGAGATCTATTTATAATATTGTTAATTTAATATTGTTCCCGTACATTGCACGGGGTACTGACTAGTATATATAATGTTGAGTACAACTAATTTTTCATAATAAACATTACTTTATTTTAATTTCTATTCATGTCGTCGAATTTAAACTATATGTAATTTTTATAATATAATTAATTTACCTTCGCATGTGAATGTGCACGGTAAAAGAGTACTAGTTGTTTATTAATAACGAGCACAAAGTACAGAATAGCCGGCGACGCGGAGTAGAAATTGGCGAAGAAACCTCGATATTGACCACTTCAAACTTGTTCCTCTAACTTGAATTCGAATTTGAACAAGAATAATGTTTAGTATTCGAAATTTATTCGAATCTGAATACGGATATGCATATATTCGATTTGAAATTATGAAATATTCGATTCTTTAATTATATATAATTTAATATATTATATCAAATATAAGATTCTACATTAGATTTATTTATATAATATATAATATATTAAATATATATATATATAACACAAAAAATATATTTATATTTAAAATAGCATATTTAATTAATTTAAAAAACATGTTTATGTTTATATATATATATAATAACAAAATATATATTTAAAAACTATATAAATATATTTAAATATTTATAATTAATTTCTGAAAACTACTGTCGAATTGAATATATCCGACTATTTTAAACGAATCGAATGCAAATCACAAATAAATTCGATAATGAATTGAATACGATACGAAGATTCGAATATTCGTTTAAAACTCTACTCAACACCCAATTTCACAATCTTAGCCAAAAAAGCACATCATGGTCAATGGCCGCCTCCGCTTCCCGCTGTCGATGTTGCCTCCGCGACCGTTCACTTTGATCGATTTTTCTTTTTAATATCATTCTGAAGATCTTCTAGTAATCTTCCACCTCCTAAAATTGCATATAAAAACTCCACCAGTAAGGCCGTCAATTATTCAAGTCAAAAATTTTAAATCCATAAAATTCTTGTCAAAATTCGGTTTTCTTCTTTGATTTTTCGACGATTTACGACAACCCACCAAAATCCGTGGACACCTTCGGGTCAGCGACGTCCCCATCGACCTGAGGATACTTCGACCTGCAATGACTTCAATCTCTGTTTTACATGTCGGTTCATCCTGTACGGTCATGTTGATTCTCGGGTCCAGTTGACGTGATACGTTATCCCATATCAAATTTGTTTAATTTTTTTCTATATAAACAATTTTAAATTTTCAAATGTTTAAAAAAATGTAACAAAATTTACTTAAAAAAGCATATCGATTCTACCCGTCTGACCGAATGGTGTTCACCTGTTCACTAGAATACCGAAAATGTTTTATTCAAACGAACCACAGCCAATAAACCGACTCTTGGTCCATCTAGTTGAACTGTCCAATCCGGTTCGATTTTGAAAATAATATGTAAATCATAATTATATTATTAACATATTTAATTTATAATACAATCATAATATCATTTTTACGTGCATAGCATGACCATGTACTATATAAATATAACCTAACATCTTTACTTTAATCTTAATATTGATTCACAGTGCATCTAACCTAACATCTTTACTTTAACCTCAATATTGATTCACAGTGCATCTTACGAGTATGTGCTAGTGAGCATAAGTTGGAAAGATAAAAAGATTATATTTATATTTATGAACGAATTTTAGATAGAGTGTTATTATTTGAATTACTAGAACTAAATATTACAAAATGTAAAATAAATTTTTATATTTTGAAAGAAAATAAGTAAATTTTCTTCAATTATCAAATAGGGAACCAGAAACTCCAAAATTAGTAAACCGCTCAAATTTTCACTCACCCGTCGTCTTGACTTTGTTTCAGTTTTTCATGAAAATAGGTTTAAGATAGTTGCACATTTTTCACAGTTTCACTTATCTGCATTCATTGCAAAAAGCTCATTGAAGAAATATACTGATAATAACCTTGCATAATGATTGTGAAGTTACTTTACATTTGTACACAAAAATAGAAGTAGCAGATGCACCTGAAGGCTATATTCATTACAAGAAATCCTCAAATGAGTATTTTATATGCTACGAACATATGTCGCAAAAATCTAGTCTTTCTAGTCACCCTTCTTTGACAAGACAAACAAATCCTATAATGGTGATTCTAACAACGAGCCTTTCCAAGTGGCTGTTCATGTTTCTGCAACACAAAAAGGACAAGCGCTCTTAAAAAGAAATGATTAACAAATAACGAATTAGATTTTAGAAGCTCCATTAGCGTAAAATAGTTGCAATCAAGAAAAAGTATTATCCATAACAACCAACTCGACAAACCTCGGATTATAGATAACTGAAACCCAAATATATATGCCCAAATAAAATCTCCAGTGGAAAGCTTAGAAAGCTTAACTGGAACAGCCACAGGCCTTTTGCTGGGTTTGATGCATTTAATAGCTGCAAACAAGAAAAATGATACATTGGCCACGAAACATTAGTTATGACGAAAATTTTAATGAATTTCAAGTGGTGATGTTGCAATCTTACCTTCGGCATAATCGGGGGCTACAAAACAGCAGAGCCAGCAACTAAGGCATAGGCCCCAGCTTCAATTACACTTGGACATTATTATCAACTTTAAGACCAGCCCAATTGCTAGTTTTGCATATCGTGTGATTGTATCACGTTATGTGTACTCTTCACAGACCTGTACGATTAAACTAAATTATTTTAGATTTCAACATTACCTCACTAGAGAATGTCAAACCCCATCCAGAAATATAAAGCACCATTATTCAAACCAACAAAACTACATTTACTGTTCATTACCCTGTCTCGGACAATCAGGTCCATTCAGAGGATTTCACAATGTTTGATTCCTTAACACACCCCACCCACGGTAACCATAGTTCACAGCTATCAAACAAATATACGGCCTATATGAGATCACAAATAAGATTGATATGTGTCGTCCAGTGTACGCATAGCAAGAGGTGAGATGACCTCCGAACTCAATTTCACATTTGAGCAAGCAAGTTTAAAGACGAGAACTTCGACGGATATGTAAGCAAGCATCATAAAAAGAAAATAGAAATAAACACCCAAAAAAATATGATACCAAAAACCTCTCAAACATGTAATTTAACTCATACTTGCAGCAGAAAAAGAAAAACCCCATTGATTCATTAGTTCTAAATTTTCTGACTTTAAAAAGTAGGAAATAAGAAACCGACACCGCGCGCTTGGAGGAGGTTTAGAGGGTCATCGGGTCGGGCTGCAGCTTGTGGGCCGAAGGGGAGTCCAGATCTGCATTGGAATTCGATCCGATTTCGAGGTTGTCGACTCGGGATTTTCCCATCGTCGGTTCGCCGTGCTCGACTTCACCTGCTTCGCCGGAAAAGTTGGTTTNCGGAGAAGGCTGAATCTGACAGCTTTCTTCGCTTTCTTCTTCTTATGTCTTCCTCGAAGAGAGCTCTTTTGGGATTAGGGAAATTGGGGTTTGAGGCGATTTTTTTTGTCATTTTTTACTTTTCTTAACTTAGTGGTTTAATTGAGATATGTAATTCTGTCTGGTGTGAATGTTAAAGAAAGAAATACTTAAAGACCTTTTCTGTAAATTCATTACAATTTTTTTAAGTAAGGGTATTAAGTACTTAAACTAAACATTAGGGACACTTGTCATTCATTTAAAGCACACCTGATGTTAGGTATGTACAAAGCCAAAAGAAGGCTACCTGATGGTAGAATCACCCAAAATGGGAATCCAAAAGGAGGCTACCTGACGGTAGAATCACTCAAAATGGGAATGCAATAATAATAGTATTACTATTTAAATGGGGAGTTGGGAGGAAAGATAAATATGTATTAGGGAGTGCAGATGAAAAAGAAAGGCATTAGGAACTGATAAGAAAACTCAAATGTGCATTTGGGGATTTATAAGGAATTATCCGAATTATTAATCTGTCATGCATGTTTATTCTTTTATATGCTCGTCACAACTTTATATTAATTAACCGTTGCAACAAACAAATAAGAACTGCTAATCTTGATCCCTTCGAATTCATTCTCCAGAACTAACAAATTAATAGGTGTAGCCACCATCATTCAACAGTCAACAATCATTTTTTTTTTACTTATTATTAAAAGAATTTTATTTACATAACACAAATTAATTTTTATGTGTGACATCTTAATGTTAGGCCGTCCCATTATACATTATTAATAAAAATTGTATATTTATATTACAAAATGATATACTTTTTATGTTGTTTTTATAACAGAATGAATATTTATTGTCTAGTTATGAGACATGTGTAACATTAGCTTTACAGTAGGGTTTCAACGTAACCATTATACATTTTTAAACCGGTTCAACCACTGGTCCGATCAGTGAACCGGTAGTTTCACCGATTCGATTTTCAGAATAATGGTATTCCCAACACATTTTCATCGTCCAAATAGTTATTTTCTTCCTAGTAGCAAATAGCAATCCGTTTTTCCAAGAACCAACTTACAGAAATTTAACATACACAAATTAAACCTTGTGTATTTCACAGCACCAAGTTGAATCCAGTTCTCGGAAAATCATCCCTCATGCCCTCCTTCTTTTTGCCCTTGCTCCCTTTCCCCCATTTTTCTTCTGTTCTTTAGCCGAGCTTTCTTCCACAACCTTCCTCTTGTCCCAGGTGAAATCAATGTCTCGGCCAAACTATGTAAGGAAGTAATGTCCTAGACACTGTGCTCAGGGGCGGATCCACTAAGAGTCTAGTGTGGGCCTAGGCCCACACTGAATTTTTCAAATTTTTGTACTTAGATTACATATAAATTAATCAATGAAGGATTTAATTTACATAGGTGCATTTGGGAATAAATAATTGTACTTCTCTCCAAATTCTAAAATGACTTATTGCATTTTGTTTATCCATTATTAATTACTTTTGATTTATTTTTATTTTTTGGAATTGATGCTATTTATCATATTTTGCTTAAATTTGAACTTGATATATAATTATTGATTACTTAATATGACTTATAGTAAGAAGAAAAAAATTAAAATCTTTCTTATTTATGTTAATTAATTTACTTACATATTGATTTCAAAATTTGTAGTTAATTAATAATTCACATAAATTTGTAAGTTTCCGCATGAATCACTTTAAATTTAATCACAAAATTTTTAGTTAATTAATATTTCACACAAATATACAAGTTTCCATGAAAGTAACTTTAAATTATAATTATGACTAATAGTTAATCTACTTTTTAGAAACTACTAGAAAATAAAAGGAGAAACACCTATTAGATATATGAATTTTTTCTTTTCTTCGCATTCTCAATATTCATCTTGTTGGAACTAAGAAAATAATAATGAGAAAATCATAAAATTACTATTTATTTCATCCCACCTTTTTACCTACTAGTAACACAATTAAAACATAATAAATTCATATTATGTTATACTTTCTAATAATATAATAATATTATTAATTCACTAGTATATTTTCGATTGTAGATCACTACATTTTTATCTTGTATTCACTCAATTTCAAATCTATCTCACTTTTTTTTTATCTCTATTTTTAGATGAGACAAGATTTTGAGAAAAAAAAAAAATATATTTTATACAATCGCAACATATAGTTTTATTTTATAATTCGCATGGTTAGTTACAAAACAACTTAGGTCCCCACTCATGCAAATTTCTAAATCCGCCCCTGACTGTGCTTCCTCAAACCAAAATACGCAAACTATGTTCTCCGTTAGTTGAGCATGAAAAATATCACATGCCACATGGGCGCGCAAGAAAATCTTCCCACCGTCCTTGGAGAGTGCAAGAGGCCACATGGGCCCTTGTGTGTAGAGTATGAAGAATATCACATGCCACGACTCATCCACTCCATACTCTTTCATCACCCAGATCACAACCATAGGCGCATGCACACAAGCTAGAGCTAACATGGTTTCGTCGAATAGCTCTAATGTTAAATGAGGACGCTCAAACTCGTCATCGAACTTGGGCATTAACTCGAAATTATTCTAGGTCACGATGTTGAAACTCATGAGTTTCATGTCAACATTGACAACAAGGGCCTGCAGAGCGTCTCGGAAAGGGACGAGCCAGTGTCCCATCTGGTATTTCGTGCTCCTCCACAAATCCGACTTGAGGTTGTAAATCCACTCCTCAAACAAGGGCCGTTTTTAATGCCACATAACATTGGCGACCTTATAGTCGTCATTCACCTAGTCGTAAGCGAACCCGTACATGATCTGACACGCATTGGCCAATCTGGGCGCCAACTTAACTGGCACTTCGACAGAATCTTGTGCTATCTCGCGAAAACGTTCCATAGAATTGGAGGCTCGATCTCTCTCGTCACCACAACCAAATCGTTGACGGATCAATCTCGACCTTGTTGTTGTAGTTGAACGGTGGGTTCATATATGTCGGACTGCTAAGAGACTCAAGGTTCATCAAGTGGAGGCCGAAGATGACGCTGATGAAACCGGAATATCATCAGCGTCATCTTCGGCCTCCACTTGATGAACCTTGAGTCTCTTAGCAGTCCGACAGATATGGACCCACCGTTCAACTACAACAACAAGGTCGACTCAATCTCGAGATCCGTCAACGATTTGGTTGGGGTGACGAGAGAGATCGAGCCTCCAGTTCTATGGAACGTTTTCGCAAAAGGGCACAAGGTTTGCCGAAATGCTCTATTAAGTTGGCGTCCACATTAGCCAATGCGTGCGAGATCATGTACGGGTTCGCTTACGACAAGGTGAATGACGACTAAAGGTCGTCAAGGTTATGTGGCATAAAAAACGGCACTTGTCTGAGTAGTGGATCTACAACATGAAATCGAATTCGTGGAAAACCAAGAGCACGAAATACAAGATGAGATACGACTCATCCCTTTCCGAGGCGCTCTGCATGCCGTTGTTGTCAATGTTGACATGAAGCTCATGGGTTTCAACATCGTGACCGAGAAGAATTGCGAGTTGTCAATGCCCGAGTTTGAGCGTCCGCATTTGACACTGGAGCTATTCGACGAAACCATGTTAGCTCTAACATGTGTGTATGCGTCTACGATTGTGATCTGGTGATGAGGGAGTATGGAGTGGAGGAGTCGTGGCATGTGATATTTTTCATGCTTAACACACTAGGGCCCATGTGGCCTCTTGCACTCTCCAAGGACGGTGAGAAGATTTTCTTGCGCAAGGGCCCATGTGGCATGTGATATTCTTCATGCTCAACTACCGGGGCACACAATTTGAGTATTTTGGTTTGAGAAAGCACAGGACATTGCTTCCTTACATAGTTTGGCCGAGACTAATTGTCGAGACATTGATTTCACCTTATTTCTGGGACAAGAGGAAAGCTGCGGAAGAAAGCTCGGCTAAGGAACAAAAGAAAAATGGGGAAAGGGAGCAAGGGCAAAAAGGAGGAGAGCAAGATGAAGGAGGTATGAGGGACGATTTTTCGGTGCTGTGAAATACACAAGGTTTTATTTGTGTATGCTAAGTTTCTGTGAGTTGGTTCTTGGAAAAGCTGATTGCTATTTGCTACTAGAAAGAAAAAAAAAAAAAGAATGCTATTTGGGCGCTGAAAATATGTTGGGAATACCTTCTTAGGAGGAGTCTCTTCTTCTTCACACTCATCAGATTCATCATCAGAGCTCTCCTCAAACAGCTTAGGCTCGGGAGGCCCGCTTGAGGATCTTTTAAGCCATAATCGTCACCGAGCCATGGCATTGTCCTTCTAAGACTATGTTTGGTAAAATTAGCTGATAAGCTAGCTGATAGCTGATAAGCTAGCTTATAGCTTATCAGTAATTTTTTAGCTTATAGCATATAGCTTATGACTTATAGCTGAAAAGCTAGCTTATATGATAAAAGTATTTGGTATAATTAGCTGATAAACTAGCTGAAATAAAAATTTAAACTACCTTATTTGAAAAGTTACCCAAAGAAGCTTTTCAAATAAGTTCGAGCTTTTTAAAAAAGCTCGTCCTAACAACGGAACTTATTTGAAAATAGGGAGTTTATAAGCTAACCAAATAAGCTATAAGCTAGCTTATTTGTCTACCAAACATAGCCTAAATATATTGTCTAGATCGGTCGAGTCATCATCTGCTAGGAGAATGGAGATAATATATCTTCTTAGACCTTATTCTTTTTTTTTTTTCTCTAATTTTTCAATATTATTGTGAGGCTGACTGAAAAGCTTGCTTTGAGTTTTGGTATGAGAAAAGATCTTTCTGTGCTTTAATGATGAGAACACTAAGATTGGTCAAACATTGACCAAAGTATAAAAGAAAAAAAGAGCATCTTAACCTATAAAACATGTCTTGCTAGTTGCTAGTCTACATTACCACCATTTTGGTTGAATGGATGAATTTAATCAATTTATTTTTACATCATTTTCCTCACTGACAAAAAATGTGAAAGTTTTGTCCTTTATATGTTGTTATTATGATTTTAGAATTTATTTGAATAAATCTTTTTCGACCTGGCATTCCTGGTATTCTGGGGCACTTCGAACGGAATAAAGGAGGCGTGGGGCATATGAAAAACGGAGCAGTTACAGGTTCGATCTCCCAAATGGACACACGATTACGCCTTTCGCCAGCTGTCGACTCGTCCCAACCAACCTGCGCGCGTAAAAACGCAAAGTGAGTCAACACAGATTGTAGAGATGAAAAACTCGGATCTTTTTTCACTTTAACTATTTACCAGTAAGTTGCGCCACTGTGAATTTTTCCAACGAACTGGGTCGAGGTCACTGATTCCGGTTATTGTACCCATATATCTGCAACAAAACATGCCATGGAAGAAAAAATTTAAATTTCGAGTCAAATTTCTCGTGACTCGAATAAGACAAGTTAAAATACTGAGTACAGAGAAGCATTTTATTTCAAGCTACCTTCTCGTGCCCGATTCTTCTGTCTCAAACATCATGCGAAAGCGCATCCCAAGAGATATCTGATTACTGCAAAACAGCTTTGTAGTGCTTAGCCAAAGGTATAACAAACTCCGATGGACTAGCCCTGCTCAAGCTAAAAACACATATTTCAGAACGGGCTGTAAAATACGGATTGTAAAAAATACAGTAGAATATATGAAGAGTCCATGACCTTGGATTGTAAAATACGGTAAACGGGCTGTTGTTAGCAGCTGCATAGGCAGCTGCCGCTAGGATTCTTATGTGCATGCTATCGCTCGACAAAACTGATGAGGATAAGTTAGTCGGCTGTCTGTTTGCACGTCTTATGCCTAGAAGAAGCTGTTGCTTTTCATCTCTGTTCGTGTTCGATGAAATCGTCATCATCAATAAGAGTAATTTGTAGATCAAATTCTTGTAAAAAAAAAAAAAAAAAAAAAAAAA